TTCTTCTTCTTCCCTTCTCTTAAAGAAAAACACCAACTACGAAGTTGTTATGCCAAGTTTTAAGTGATGGATGTTTGAGTTTTACATGAACAAAGATGCCTGTTTACTGCAGGAAGGAAATACAGCCATTTCTGTCAATAAGAGACATTACAGAACAAAGCCATTATTGATTTTAATAGTTTCATTGCTCTGGGAGTGCTGACACACAATTTAGGGTTAATCTTATCTCACAATCACTGGTCTTTCTAATGTGTATCTGTGACAACACTCTAAAGGCAAGAAAATCTTTTACCATGCTGCTAAAGGTGAGGAAAACTTGCTATTTCCATATGTGTGTGACAATTTTGAAGACTGATATGAAGCAATATTTTAGTAATGGATAGGAAAAGGTCTGGGTTTTCTGCACCCTTTTTCCCCCTCTCCTTATTCACAAAGACAAAACCTGTCCCTGCACTCAGATTTTCAATTCTACATCCACTCTCATTACTAGATTAAATACAGGATAGAAAAAGGGAGGTCTCAAAGAGAATTAGTTGAATACTGAGTTCACCTGAGGGATGAACATTTGAATAGCTAATTTAAAAGACCAGTAATTGTACTTAATACCTACAGGAGATGCACAGCAATTCAACCAAACTAATTATGTGGGAGATATCGGCCTTGTCAGGAAGTGGACTGAGCAAGTATTTAATGAAAATACACTTCTTTTATTCTTTTTTCTCATTTGTCACTGTGAGTTGAAACCCAAAAACTTAGAAAAGCAAAGAATTCTTAAATGCAAGAAAATATATTCATTAAGATACACGGGAAGAGGGGAAAAGTGGAGCTACCCTGAACAAAGATAACTCAGGTCACCAGATACACAGAGCCAAGAGATCAAAACAGGGTGTGAGGAGTTGAAGGCTGACAGTCTTGCAAAAACCAACCAAACATTGCAAATACAAAGTTTCTGAGGTGCTGGGGAAGAAAAAAGTTAGATAATTCAGGACTTTTTAAATCTCAAAAACCATGGACTTTGGAGCATTTCCAGAGAGAGGGAACTGTTGACTCTTCTTCACCCTCAGAACTCTGTATTTTACAGGTGTCTACCACGGCCTCCTCCTTCCTCACCTGACAGGAGCCTGCTTCAGTTCTGCTCTGTCCTTCTTGGGACAGGGATCAGAGCTGTGCACCTGAATCCCTTCAGTACTGCTGTGGTTTTTTTCTCTGTTCTGTTCTCTATCTTCATTAATGATTTCTAATTTTGCCTCTTTTTTTTTGACAGCCACGGATCACTGCGCCAACCTTCACACTCAGTGCTCAGTTCCAAGGCCAAGATCTCATTCCCAAGACAAGCCAGAACCCATCATTCTCAGTAGAAGGCCAGGATGATCTTTTCTGACATGTTTCACTTTATTTTTAAGCCATGCCTTATTTTATCAGCCATTTTATCACCGACTCACTCGGTCTTGCAAAGTCCTTCTGCAATTCTACAGTCAATCCCTGGAAGTTTCACCTCTGGAAGTGCTCAAAAGACATGTAGATGTTGCCCTTGGGGACATGGGTTAGTGGTGGGCTTGGCAGTGCTGGGGAATGGGTGGAATTGGTGATCTCAGAGGGCTTTTCCAACCTCAGTGGGATGCACTCACACATGCTAAGGGGGGTGGCTGACTGCACTGCAAGACCCCTCTCTGCTGCACTTGAAAGGTTCCTGAGGTCTAGAACAAAAGAAATGTCACTTGTATCTTCAAGAAAGACAAGAGGGAGGGTCCAGGGAAGTCCAGAACCTCCCCTCAGTGCTAGGGAAAGTCATGGGGGAGCAGATAATTCTGGGAGTCATTTCCAAGCACATGAAGGACCAGGAGGAGGCTGGGAGTCATCACTCCCATGGGTTTATGAGGGCAATTCATGCTCCACCACCCTGACAGGTCTCTGCAGTGAGATGAATGGCTTGGTGGGCACAGGGAGAGCAGTGGGGATCTTCAGCAGGTTGCCCAGAGAGGCTGCAGAGTTTCCAAATACTCCCTCCCCATCCTGAGCAGGGGGTAGGACTGGCCATTCTCCAGAGGTTCCTGCCAATCTCAGCAGTGTTATGACTCTGTAACACCTCAGGATCATAACAAGCTTTTTTATTCCAGTATTTCACCCACTGAGATCATTCCCAAGTTTCTTCAAAAGCCAAGGGCTCCATCCCACTGCTGTGCTCCATGACCTCCCTGGCTTTTAAACTGATCATGTCTTAACCTTGCCCTCTGCACTTGGAACAGAAAACAGCCTTTGTTTGATGAAGAGATCCCCCAGAACATGGCTAAATGTACTTTATTTCCTGCCTTCAAAGTGCATGTTTGTCCACAGTTTGATCCTGAGGCTGTTGCAGAAGCAAGGCC